ATAATTATTATAATTATAATCATTGATAATTATAATAATACTAATTCATAATAATTATTATTATAATTATACTATAATTATCACTATAACACAATTTTTGATGACACATTCTGTAATCTATTTACGATATTATCAAGAATAGTATAAATATAAAACAATGTTGAATGATAAAATATCATTCAACATTGTTTTATATTTATGGCTAAAAGAATCATATTTTTCGTTTTATAAATGATAATTTTGTGTCAATTTAAATGGCAGTGTAAAAAGATATAAATATTCAAATTTCTGTATCTGAACAATATTTTTTTAGTATTCGAAAATTTTTTTGTATTTATTTGTATCTATTTCTTTGCTTCTTCAACTGTCTTTTTTATTTATTCTAATTAACGTATAAAATTGATAATTTTTCGCATGATTAAATTTAAGCCGGCTACATTGAAGATCAAAGATATAATCAAATATATTTGATCGCTTATAATTTACTATTATAATGGTATAAACTATTATATTTAATTGTGATAAAAAAATTAGTATCAAATAATTGTCAACGTCTTTAACATATGAACAAAAATGATTTCGTATTAAATAGATGTGTCAATGACTATGCGCGATATTTGGATTGACTTAGGTAAGTCGCCCCAACTTCATACGTGCACGGAGCAACAATTGAAATATAATCGCTGAAGTAAAGCAACGTGATATGTTCTCAGAATGTAAAATATACAATACATCCCTGTGTAAAGTTCATCATAATTCAACATTTGAACCGCTACGACGGACGTATCGATTGAAATAATCTGGTCGCCAACATTTACAGCTTCCGGGTACCAAGAACCAATCGTAATATAGTCGTACCTAAACAGGAATAAAGATATAAAAAAATAAATATATTTATTAAAGAATTATCCGCTAACTTATAACATTAAGTAATATCAATCGGTATATTATGAAAAGAATTTTTAAAGACTATATAGATAAAAACTAATTTTAGAATAAGTTATATTTTTTGCAAAAAGTAAACTTTAACTACTGATATTTGATTGTGTTGGAAGTTCAGCAGATAAGTGAACATAAGAAAAGCGAAGGTGTAGTTCTTACTTGAAAGCAACCCATTTCATCGACACCATCACAATGATGTTGTTGAGAACCACCATTGTTACGTGCTTCTCCCGTGCTCGCGCGTTTCTGCAAATATTGCTGATAATTTTGAAAATCGTGAACCGGTGGTGGTGATCCACCGATAGGATCTCGAGTAGCAGAGCCGATACCAGTACTTCCTTGATTCTCCTCTAAGAATGTGTCCGGATAAAATATTTCAGCGACCAATAAACTCGTCCATCTTGGCGACGATAAACATCCACCATCCAAGTAATGGCATCTCGATTGCCTATAATGATGACGAAAATACATATTACTCCTGGACTTTAGATGGCTAACTACACTGCGAATTAGTCAGAATAATCGGAGCCCTACATGCATCTGGTGAGTTCGATTGTCTGCGTAAAGTAACCTTCGTAAGGTATCTGCACCACATATCTCCAAACACCTTGATAATTCTTAGCGAAGACCGGAGTCGCATATTCGACTTTGGCTGGACATGGTGTCGGCGGACCCGTATATTCCGTTTTTTCCTGTGATGGTACGCGTTCTCCTCGTCGATAATCGGATGTTGAAGGTTCATCCCGGCGTTCGATGGCTGATGCTGATGACGTGATCGGCTCGCCTTGGATCGCTTTAAATAACATGCACATCCTATTTGCCAAAAAGAAACTACATTATTAGAATTACGTTAATATACCTATATAAGTAAACTCTAAACTCTAAAGGAAACGATAATCGTTCCGATCGTTTAAGGATCTTCTCTCCCCTTCTCTCTTTTTAAAAGAAAATCATCTTTATTTTCAAAAATTTTTATTATTTTACAACTATCAATAGCTCGATACTTTCGGAAAATTAATCAACTTTTTAAAAAAATAGTTCATATTATACATGGCTGCTAATATATTACCAATCTAATATATATATATATGTGCATAAGTAGAAGTGGTAGAACTTGAAACTTATTGAGATGTAATTGAAACAAATATACTTACACTCCGCTACCGTTATCGCAAAATTTGCGACCGTGTCGACTGGAATCCGGAACTAAAGTCGAATCCAATGGACTGGATCTTTTGCTTCTATCATGTTTTTCTTCTTCGTCTGTGTCAACACTATGGAAAGAGAGTTAGTATGTGTGTTAATTAGTTCGATATATCAAATTAGTATCTATTATTAGATAAATATTAAAAATTACATTATATTATTGCAGTTTTCATTTATTAAAAAGCAACTATGTAGAATAGAATTTATTTACATATATGTAGCATATACAAGTCACAAAGAAGACTTGGTTTACAGAAATACTTAACTCATTCACACTTACACTTCTCTCCCGCCTTTATCTTACAACTACAAACCTAAACTATTACAATACATTCTCTTTTACCTATACATAATCTCTATATCACAGCCCTATATCACAGTCTATTATTAGTGTCCATATTCCATTTCTTATTTCCTTTTATTTCTACTTAGCATTTCTTTACTCTTATTTATCGCCCTATCTTCCCTTATATTCTTTAACTGCACGTTCCATCTACATCCTATCTTTTTTATTTTCTATTGGTCTCATTTCAATTCATTTCCTTAATTTATAAATAGATAATAAATATCTAATTACTAAAGTATAATATACTACGCTACCATCTTATTTTATATTCACAGTTGTTGTTTTACAACATACAAAATACTCATTCTTTGTCTTTATTATCTTTATCTTTACAATAGTCTCTATTTATATCTTTTCCTTTCTTTCTCCTTTTTTCTTTTTTTTTTATTATTTCCTTTTCTCTATGGTTCTTCCATACTTTTATTAGTGTTTTTCAAAAAGCAACTATTTATATGTCATGTATAATATTTGAAAAACGAATGGAAAAAAATTACATATAGGGCGTATACATGTGAAAAGATGATATATAAAATATTCAAACTTAATTTATAAAAGAAAAATTTGGCAAGTTGAGAATGCAAATTGTGAGAAACACTATACTTACGAATTTTGTGACAATGAATGCACTTTGGCAACTTTTGGCAGCGAATCGTCAGCTTTGAGAATTGGTAACGCCTTACTAAGGAACTTGAGAGTATGATTCTTTATCAGTGCACTATGGAAAAAATTTACAAACGTTGCTAATTTAATAAAAAATTATTTAATGCCGCGATCTGAATAATGACTTTACTTAATTTATTATCTCTTACTTACAAAGGATATGACGAGCCGTTTACATATTGATTCATTGGATTTCGCGGAATATAGCCTTTATTCAAATCTCCGCATATATTATGTATGGAAACATATCCTTTTCCATGTTTATCGCTACCTATAAAAAATATAATATAAATGACAAATTATATAAAACATCATTAGTATCGAAAGTCAAGATACTCAGAGTTTGAAATAAATTATGTATTATTATACAATAATAATTTTTTTAATTATTATTAATTATTAAAAATGCGAATTTTTAACTATTATAGGAACCGATAATTACGAGACAATTCTCGTAAATAGCGTTAAATGTAATTATAAGTAAGAATATTGAAATTATTATAGGTTTCGCTTTGCTTATTCCGGACCTACCGTAACATTCTTTATCGCTGTCAATGTAGGGCGGTGGCCGAACTCTCGGTGGTTCCGCATTCGGTGATTCGACGAACGCATAATATCCTTCTGGAGGCTCTTCCGTTCGTGTGGACTCATTGTCGTTAACCGGTTTGGTATTTTTGGACTCATCTTCGGCGTACGATGATGCACACAAAAGTATCATCTAGATAACAATGATTTATTTTACAGAAGAAAATAATTACAGAATTAAGACACATTAGCGTTTTTTCAGCAATACACAGTTTATGCGTGACGAAGTGATCGAGCAGTATATTCATACGCAAGAGTTGCGGCATCCGAGATCATCGGATTAGCTCAAAACAGTTGAAACAAGTTCATCAAATTCTGAATAATAATTCTTAATCCATATAACTTTAGTTTGAATTATATAATAAAAGTGTTTTCATTTTTCTTCTGCATGAGCGAAGATATAGATGTTTAATTATGGTTTATACATCTTATAATTAGATATACCCAGCAAATGAGAATAGATTAAAATGGATTGAAACTTTTTTCTATCCGAATGCATATTTTAAATAACGAATACTTTTTTTGGATTTAATTGGATTCAATTAGATTCAATTGAATGCAATTGGATTGAAAAACTGCATTTCCTATTCAAAATTTTGAATTGAACAGTATTCACAATGTACAGAAAAAGCTAATATTATTTTTGAATTGAAAGGCATAGAGATATGCCCCATGCAATTCTTATAAATGAATAAAAATGCATTCAGAATTGAAAAACATTAATTTTAACATTCGTGAATATTTCTGAAAATCTGAATTCATTTCAATTCATTTCAATCCATTCTCGTTTGCTGGGTTATATAATAAAAGTGTTTTCATTTTTCTTCTGCATGTCCTATGAGCGAAGCTATAGATGTTTAATCATGGTTTATGATTAGATATATGTAACTTGTAAGTGTTCTCTCATTTTTTCATTAAAAAATTTCAATTTGCTCCACAGTATGATTAATTATTTTAATCATATTTACTAAAAAAAAAAAAACTAAATTAGTTGAGAAAACCTGAAGAAAAATTTTACTCAATAATCCTTAACAACAACTAACTTGCAACTAATGGATCAAAATTCTCATTCTTCGAAAAAAACAAAACGCAAAAGATTCAACAATTATATAAATATGTAATTATATAAATATTATTATTTATAAATAATATTTTTTAATTTTGTCGCAATCGTGACTCATATTTGATTTTCTCGATCTTTTCGCTGTAATGTTAAATCTTTTTTTTTATGTAAAATCTCTTCATGGATAACGGCCAACAGGTATTACGTTACATCGCGTCGGGATCGATGATGATTACGAGATATTCCTTCAAGTTATCGAGGTATGCGTACGATGCTAACGGTACACGGTCCACGATCCACGCTGCGGGTTGTTCAGCCTATTTTATAACGTGCATGTTACTCGAGCGTTGCCCTACTAACCGAGGCATTATACCGTTTTACTGATGAATCTTCTTTTACACATTCAGGAACTAACAATATTTAAAAGAACAATATAGAGAATAATATAATAGGGAGACGCACACGTGCAGATATGCACATGCGTTTTTCGCCTTATTCAATACATCTTCTCCAATATATCTTTAAAGCATATATGATATATGTTACGTTATAGTTATAACATATTGCGACATTTATTTGTTAATTTTTGAAAGACCGAGAAAGGATTTCGCATAGAAAACAACAATCTATTTATTGTCTTTCTCCCCACACACAAACAACAAACGAAAATGAATTGAAACGGATTCCATATAAAAAAAAAATTTTTATACATGTAAAAGTTTAAATAAATTAAAAAAGTAATTACATGAAATTCTATAGTTATTATTTTTAAAACTTTTATATAAAAAATTACATTAGCTGTATAATAAAGGAAACATATTAATATAAAATGTACATAAAAGCGATTAATTAAAAATAAGGAATTTATGTAACATTTATTGCACATATTTATGTAGTTCTTTTTATGTCTCTTTTAAGTATTAAATAAAATAAAATTCATGATATATTTTTATGTTACAACTTTTTTTACTCAGTTGAATTAAAACGAAAAATTTCTTATTCATAATTCTGAGTAATAGCATTCATGATAGCATTTTTAACAATGAATTTTCTACTCACAATTTTGAATTGTATTCATGGCCTATTTTAAGAAAATTAAAAGAAAAACTTTTTCTTATTTTTTTTATTGAATTAAAAAACTGCATTTCCTATTCAGAATTTTGAATTTAACAGTATTCACAACATAGAAATGACTGATATTATTTGTATTTAACTGGATTGAAAACTGCATTTTCTATTCAGAATTTTAAATTAAGCAGCATTCACAATGCACAGAAATGGCCGATATTATTTTTTAATTCAACTGGATTAAAAAACTGCATTTTCTATTATTTAAAATTTTAAATTAATCAGTATTCATGATATACACATACAAAATACTATAATATTATTTTTAGATTAGAAAAACATAGAAATACTTCATGTCATAAAAATGCATTCAAGATTGAGAAGGAATAGACATTTGTTTTATGCAATTTCTATAAATGAATAAAAATGCATTGAGGATTTAAAAGGATTTCATTTCATTTATGAATCATCAGAACATTTATGAATCCGTATTCTTTCTGAAAATCTGAATCCATTTCAATCCATTCTCGTTTGCGGGTTACTCTTTCCGAAGATGCAGAAAACGTTATGTGTATCGTAGATAAAACGATAGCAAAACGATAAATTAATCTACTCGAGATTTGTATAGCGATTTAATAGATTTGTATAATGTACAATAAAATTTATCGTCTTTTAGGGAAATGAGAAAGAACTTTTATTGATTTTTATTGACGAAGTAATATTATTGCGATAATAATCCGTAGAATCATTCATATTTTGCATAATTTTATTATCTAATTGAATCGTAACATCCCAGCGAGAATGAATTAAAATGGATTGACATTTTTTTCTATCTGAATGCGTATTTTAAATAGCGAATACTTTTTTTTGGATTTAATTGAATTCAATTAATTGGATTCAATTAGATTCAATTGGATGTAATTGGATTGAAAAACTGCATTTCCTGTTCAAAATTTTGAATTGAACAGTATTCACAATGCACAGAAAAAGCTAATATTATTTTTAAATTGAATGGCATAGAGATATGCTTCGTGAATCAATATTTCTGAAAATCTGAATCCATTCCAATTCATTTCAATTAATTCTCGTTTGCTGGGGTGCAATAGTCCGGTTTATTTTATTTTCAACTTGCTCTATGCATATATTATAGGAAGATGTAATTATTAATTAACGAGACCCTTATTAAATTATGGTACAAATCCAGTGAAATTTGACGATTTTTAATGTAAGAATTCTTCTCATTGCAAAAGGTGGATGTCCTACTTTCTTGCAGTAGATCTAAGCGTTAGGAAGTGCCGATACAGTTACGAGGACAATGACGTCTCCGAACCGGTATCGACAGAAACGGCAGACACGATTTGTTTAGCAAGACACGGCCGTAAGTTGCCAACGATCGCATAAATATCTGTCTCGAATTGCTTCTTCAAGAATAATGCGATTTAAAACTGATAATTTTGTATCTGTTAGTTTTCAAAAAACAATTTTCTTTCTGATATTGCGTCACTTTTACAGGACAAATGCATATGCAATATGATGACGATTGTATGAAATGTTTTGATAATTATTCCTTTAACTTTTTGTGGATATAAATCACGAAGAGTTTGATGTTGCGGTATCTAATTGGATTTTTTTATAATTTGTTTTCGTATGCAAATCTTGATCTGTGTCTTATTTTAGTCCTGAAAATCTTCTTTATTAAATTAAAGCAAATTTCTTCAGAGAATAATTAGAATTACTTTTTTTTTCTTTTCCATTTTGAATTATAGATAATAGAAAGTTATAAATGAAACGACGCTTACGTGTCAAATTTTGATTAAGGAAAGGAAATATATAGTTTAGAGAATGAAAAAGAGAAGTTAAGATCTAATACGATTCGTTTGTTGCTCATGTCTTAAAGAGTGAATGATAAAAATAATGTTCGCAACTTACAACAAACGTACGAAATTCCATGGCGTGTTAATTCACTGTAAAGACCAAGGAAGAAAGAAATTTCCGTTTTAAGAATAGCCGCGGCTGTCAAGAAGAAGTTTTCTCGAGACTATCTCGCGAGCCGGTCGGACCTGTCTACCAGCCAACGGTCATAGCAAAACTGAATTTTACTCTTCACCTGCACCGCTTAAGGGGCCGCTTACCTTCACCTCGGCCATGTATTTGACCGTTGTGTCATACAGAGGAATGTACACGGAGGCATTGGACTTTGGTATTCAACCCGTTAAAGATCACGAATTATAATAGGGTACGATCAAAATCGCAGTCTAGCTAATGGAAATTTTCCTAAAAAAAATGAGACAAAAATATACAATATATATTTTTTTATAAGAGATTTTCTTTGAAAAAGAAAATTATTGATCTTAAAATCGCATTCTGTACAAAGAATTTTATTATTAGTTAAAGAGCAATTTTTATTTTCTATTTATCATTTATTAAAATAATTAACTCTTTTATCAGAGCATAAGTTGTCAATGAAACAAAAAATCTATCGCAGAATTTCTAAGAGTAATCTAAGAGTAATTTTTTTATTTATAATTATGTGGACAGTACGCGTATTAATATATTAATACGTGTGATTCATAAAAAATTCTTTATTGTAAAAGAAAAACTAAAATGTATTGTACTTTATTTTGATATATTTAGAAGTAGTATAATTGCAGTATAATTGAATCAAATGATGACAGATTTAAAATGTAAATAGCGATCAATAAGTCAGATTCAACTCCACCTCCTCGTCCTTGTGATAAATTATAATGTCTTTCAACATCATGTTCGGTCCTTCGTAGCGGAAATTGAAAACAGGTCTATCCAAGGGGAATCCATATGCTTTATTATCAAATTTGTAGCTACCAAAGATGCGAGACATAGAAGGAATCAGTTCTCCTTCGACCGGATTGATGTACGCGAAGATCTGGAAGGGCATACCCTCTTTCTTGCCCTTGGGCAAGAGCAGACGCTCAGGGAATCCGTAGACTCTTTCCGCGTATGAGAATTTATCAGAACCATCCAAGGCCTTAAGCAACTTCTTGTATAGAATTTCACTTGGCTCCGGATCGGGTACGGTGAAGAAGCAGTCTTGACTATTTCGTTCAATCTTGTTCACACCGGCGTATACTGCAATACAATGTAGAGAATTAAATTAGAGCATTTTTTCCCCATATATCTATTTGTACAATCAAGTACGATTATATATGTATGCATAGTAAGATATTAAATCGAAATACTAACGATCAACGACCCAGTTATCCATTTCATAAAAGTATATTGCGTATTCAGCGAAATCAATCGGTTTATGATGAATGTTATACTTTGGTCCGAGGAAAATGCGTATCACAGCTTTCATAGCTTTCTTGGCGTTGATAACGAGATGGAAGCTAAATGGATTGTGATTCAGACGATATTGACGAATTTTGATCAATGTGTTTTCCGCTTCCTTTACATCATCAATTATCAAACCGTTGTTGATCGAAGTATCAAACTGATTAAAATAGGTAATTAATTTATCTATGACAAAGGACTCGATCTTCAATTCGGGATAAATAATTTCGTTCTCGTGGTATGGTTTTTGATGCAATTTGTACCTAAATAAAAATCATATTCGTATTGTTAAAAAGAGGTTGTCATTTTAAATGTAAAGTATTTAAAACACTTGCGGAGACTTTTACTTTTAGGTCTTTTAGATAATACCTGAAATAGTAGTACAATATTCTTTTGTAAAAACGATAGAATGCAGGATCTCTCATGGACGTGCTGTAAAATTCGAGGGCACTCGGTATAATCTGATACGAGGTTGATGATTCCAAGTTGTATCCAAAGATTTTTCTCGCAAGTAGATCGATGCTGCCGTAAAAATCGAGATTGCAGGAATCCATATTGCCCTCAATAATATTACCAAGAATGTTGAGACCCTCGGATGTGTAAACGTTGACCATTTTACCAGTTGCGTCCAAGATAAATCCTGAGTCAATGACTGCCGATATTCGAGATTCTATGTCTTCTATGTCCTAAAAGCGCGACAACAGATTCATATTCACTTTACATTAATATTCACATGCAACAGTCGAATATTGGATGATAAAAGCGAAAAATAAAATGAGCGACTTTAATAAGCATTTTTCTTTAGTTCTAGTTTTTAAGACTAATAAGATATGTGTGTGTGTGTGTGTGTGTGTGTGTGTGTGTGTGTGTGTGTGTGTTAGATATTGTATTACGATATAAAATATTTAAATATCCTACGATACGCAATTGGAAAAAATGTGTTGAATTTAACATAAATCGCATATCCCAAACGATCCACTTAAATTTTTGAGTTAATTTTACACAAAATAAATATGTTAGAAGGTAACACAGATATGTAAAAGAATAAATACAAAGAAAGATAATATCGACATAATTTGTAAAAAAAAACTGTGGGAACAGATTTTTTTTTTTTTTTCAGAAAATTAATTTTATGATAAATTTTATGTTAAATTAACACATATTTCATTCATTTGTCTTAGAATTAACGTTTTAAAACACACTATTTTTATGTTACTTGCTCACTTACTCATAAATTGTCATCATTTTGACATTAAGAAACATTGAATATCAATTTTACACAAAACCTTTAAATAACATAATCACATTATGTTAAATTAACACTCAAATATGTTTTTAAAAATTCAACACGAACTATTAACACAGTTAGAGTGAACCGTTTTCAACATAAATACACCATTTTTGTTACTGTATAGTCAAACTTGTTCTGTTAAGTAATTTAGTAATTGGCTAAGCGCTAAACTGTACCTTTATGTATTTGAACTTGTAATAAGGGAACTTGCTCCAGTATGGTCTCTGTGGCATCGGTAATCCATTGTGATAGGTCATTGTCGGATAGTATCCGACGTAAAACTCGCTGTGCCAATCGAAATCTTCGATTTTACCAATGTCATTGGATAGCCGCTCCAAATAATAACGAGACAATAACTGTTTGTGACCGTAAAGGTATTTCATACCACGATTCTTCTCCAAACCGAATTCCTCGCCCTTTAACCAAAATGGATATTCTTGCCGCAAGTAAAAGTAGAAAGCATTCAAGCCAATGTCCTCAGTGAAGTAATTAATCTTATGCTCCACATCGTACTCGCGGGACATGTACCATCCGGAATAATTTGCCGGAATGATGTAGGTATCATATTCACCGAACTTCTTTGAGTCTACATTGAGAACGGTTCAATCGAAAACACATAAACTTTAATTATACACTAAAAATTTAATAAATAAAATTTACATTGAAAATAATATGTACGATCAAAGAAAAATATCACAACATGTTCTGAAAATTGCATGCATTTCTTTCAGTTTATGAACAAATTAGTGGTTTCGAGTATAAGATTATGAATGACAAGGATGAACAAGGATAAATTTGATTAAGACGTACCAAGTTTACCGAAGAGTTTCGCGTGATGAGCTTTCTTGAGTACTTCGGAGTTGAAGAATCCATACGGATACAGCTCATAAGGAGGCGGCAGCTGAATGAATCTGGTATCGTCGCGGAGTGTAATTACGGTGTACATGGCTTCACCAAATTGCATCTCGTTAATGTAAATACGGGCCCATAGCGCTGTTTTGTAAAAGGTGTCAAAATCTTTGGCATAATAGAACAGGTGAAATAGCGCCTCCGTTTCCTTACGGAGCTTTGGATAGTACAAGGAACTGAGCTCGCCACGAGGAAGCATACCATTCTCGTATAGATAGAAGAAGTTTTTCACCGCAGTCTGCAAAACGATATAAAGAATCTAAATGAATATTTTGTAAAAGATCCATTTTGTGATGGATCTAATTATACGTTGTAGGATAATCATTGATGTAACCATGAGAATTAGCTACTTCGTATTTACCGTATTAGTATACGAGTCTATGTTGGCTTTGATATCATACGAGCGACCTTCCTCGTATAATGAAGGATTTACGAGGGAGGGTTGTGAGATATAGTACAGAAGATTGTAAATTTTTTTCTGCTTAAGAAGGAAATCTTTGTCAGCAATTTGAATAGTATTGTAGTCTGCTGCTACAAGATTGAAGCTGATGGTGATGACGATGGCTAATACTGCCAGAAACTTCATTTTCCAAACTTTTCCAACACTCATCGCAGGCGAGATTTATTCTGAACAGCGCTCAACATTGCGCCCGCACTTTTATACACCTTCGTCGAGCGTGCAATCAAATCGATAGGTCATAAGGGCACTAGACAGTGGACACTGAAATCGTTCGATCCGATATTGAATTCTTTATTTTCATTTTATTTGCGGAAAACGAATGCTAAACATTACTCTTATTAATTTTATTATCAAACAGATTAATTGTAAATATAGATTACTTCTAAATTTATCAGTTGTATTTATTAATTAATCGCTTTATTTAAATTGTTGTCAATATTAGATACAAAGCCATTTGCTAATTTTTTATTATTTCCTAATAACACTGTATGTGATGCAGTAATTCTATTTGATATGAGTCTTTTTCTTAATTTTCTCATGCAATAGCAAAGCTGATTATTTAAGATAGTGATAAAGAGCAAATATGACACACACGCGCGTGCATATTATTATACACGTATATATTCATACCAATGATTTCTCTGAAAATGTTTTGTGTCACACCAGATAAACGCCATTAAAACGAATATCATTAAACGATTTGAAAGCTAGATTCGTTCTCGTGCAAAAGGTCATCACGCAGGATATGACTTCGAACACATGATCGACGAAAGTGTCGCAAACTTTGCGTAAATTCTATGCAGCTGATCTTGTTTACAATAACAAATGCAAGCCAAAAAATTGTTTCCTCCAAAGAATACAATAATACGAGATTAATTATAACTGCGCAAGTAGATATAAATATAAAATAATATAGTGCTTTTATATCACTCATGACTTTTGACTTGAATTGAAATTATAAAAATGTCTTATGTATATCAGTAACATAGTGATTTAATTTTTATTGAGTGTTTATTGAGTGTGTAATATAATTTTATAAATGTAATAAAATTCTTCTTTTTAAAAATATTATTTTTTTCTGAAATCTCTTATTTTTACCTTGATATAAGACGCGATACATTTTACTAATAAAAAAATGCTTAGCAACTTTTAGATTGAACAGTTTATAAAATATGTTCTTTTTGTAAGATTAAATCATTAAAAAAATATTTATATTTATTTCTATTACGTATACACACACAAACGGGCTGTAAAAATATTTCATTAATAAATATATTAACTGGAAATTAGTAATATTAATATACTTATTAGTAAAGGTTAAAAAATCAAGTGCTTCTAATAAAATTGTAAAATATATTCTATTTATTCATTTACACATGTAATTAATTATATCAAGTACAACATATTTCATAAAATAAATAAGAAATTTTCTCTGTTTGGTACATAATTTAATGTATTTACGGACAGATGAATTAAAATAAACATTTCGCAAGCAATCGCTTTATTTTTTAGCTCTTGTTACTAAGTATCAATTACATACTTAGAAATTTGATAGATAATATAGATGCACTTATTTTATACAGTGTGCAGTATGCAAATTAAATGCATCGCGTCGACGCGACGGTAAAAATTTTTGTATAGACGGTAAAATTTTGATAAGTTGATATCACTGTGTTTAGATAATAAAAGAAAGGAAATGTGAATAATTAAATTTATTTTCTAGAAAGGTTATATCTGGACGTTCGTAGATTAAATAATAATTCTCAAAAGATTCTCATTTTATGACCTATGTTAAGCTGAATAAATTGATACTGTATTATTTTATGATATACTGCAAGAATAGCATAAGCATAATCATTTATCTTTTTAGCATTTAATGACGATGCATTATGCAAAAATAAATTAATCTGTAAAATTATAATAAATTGTATGCACTGTATCGGGCATGAAATCATGCATTTTAAACATAAATTAAAATTATTACTTTTTCATTGTTCATTTAAATTCAATTAAAAAAACGAGAATAAATTTAAATTTTTTACATAATAAATCGTATTTTTCATTGACAAATACATTTATCGTTTTAGAAGATCAATAATAATAATTATTTTATAAATATAAAAAATT